CTATGGTTTTTCCAGTAGTCATGTATGGATGTGAGAGTTGGACCATAAAGAAAGCTGAGTGCCGAAGAATTGATGCCTTTAAACTGTGGTATTGGAGAAGACTCTTGAGAGTCCCTTGGACTGTAAGGAGATTAAACCAGTCAGTTCTAAAGGAAATCAACACTGAATATTCATTGGAAGGACTGATGCTGAAGCTCCAATACTTTGGCCACCTGATGCAATGAAGTGACTTATTGGAAAAGACCCTGATGCTGGGAAAGATTGAAGGCTGGAGGATAATGGGATGACAGAGGATGAGATGGTTGGATGACATCACCAACTTGATGGACAAGATTTGAGCAAGCTCCAGGAATTGGTGATGGACAGGGAAGCTTGGCGTGCTGCAGTCCATAGGATCACAAAGAGTCAGACAGAATGGAGCAATTGAACTGAACTAAACAGAATGATACATCTGATCTGGGGTTAGTATCAAATATATATAAAGAACTCATACATCTCAATATAAAAAAATCAAATTTAAAAATGGACAGAGGATCTTTTTCCCCCAAGGAAGATATAAAGATCATCAAGAAACACATGAAAATATGCTCAATATCATTAAAGTCATCACAGAAAGGCATATCAAAACCACAAATAGACATCATGTTACACACTTTGCAATGGGTATTATCAGAAAGACAAGAAATAACAAGTGTTGGCAAGGCTGTGGAGAGAAAGGAACTCTTGTGTATTGTTGGTGAAACTGCACATTGGTATAGCCTCCATGGAAAACAATAAGGAGGTTACTGAAAAGACTGAAATAGAACTACCATATGATCCAGCAATTCCACCTTTAGGTATACATCCAAAGGTGATGGAAACACCCCAATATTCACTGCAGCACTGTTTGTAATAGATAAGATATGGAAGCAACCTAAAGTATCACTGATAAACAGATAAGAAAGATGTGGAACACACAATGTTCCTGTGTGTGTGTGTGTGTGTGTGTGTGTGTATACACAATGGAACATAACTCCAGAGAATTAAATCTTGCCCTTTGCAACAACATGAGTGAACCTAGGGGGCAATATGTTAAGTGAAAGAAGTCAGACATAGAATGACAAAACTGTATGAGTTCACCTGTATATGCAATCTAAAAAACAAAATACAGAAACAGATACAGATAAAGAAAACAAACTGGTGATTGCCAAAAAGGAGAATGAGTGGGCAAAATGGGTGAAGGGGATCAAAGGGCACAAATTTACAGTTATAAAATAAGTCACAGAGATGAGATATAATGAACATAGGAATATAGTTAATAATACTGTAATAACTTTGTATGATGACTAGCAGTTACTAGACTTATCATGGTGATCAATTCATAATGTACATAGACATCAAAACTATGTTGTATACCTGAAATGCATATAATATTGTAGGTCAATTATACTTCAATTTTTTAAAAAAAGAAATTTGAGTTTTAAAAATTAATAAAAGAGAAAAATAAAGATGTTCCCAGACATAAAAGACCTCAGAAGGTTTACTATTCAAGAATCATCTTGTGAAACACTCTTGGAAGACATACCTGAGCATAAAAATAAATGTACCCAGGAATATACTATGAAATATGGTGAGTAAAGGAGAATACATGTCATCAAGTCCTAAAATTTGCTATTATATAAACAAAGAAGCAAAACAAAAACCACATAATATGGGACTAATTACTTCTCAATATCTAGTTTCCTCTTCTTTCTTAGTAATAAAACCCCAGGTAATGTGCTCACCTAAAAGCACACATTTCTCAACTTCATTCTGACCAAAGAGAAAAAAGCCACAATATCATATGGGACTATTAGAGGGAGTATGTGCAGAGATTGAATTTGTTACAACATTGCTTCTGTGGTTTTTTTTTTGTTTTTTTTTTATTTTATCACAACCATAGTGTATCTTTTTTTTTTTTTTTTTTACATGTATTCCCCATCCCGGTCCCCCCTCCCACCTCCTGCTTCTGTTTTATGTTTTGGATTTTTATGGCCACCAAGCATGTGAGATCTTCGTTTCTGACCAAGGATTGAACTCTCACCCCTTGCACTGGAAGACAAAGTCTTAACAACTGGACTGCCAGGGCAGATCCAGTCATAGTTTTTACTAGCCTTTTCTTAGCAATTAAGAGCAAAGATAAAGATGATCTGAACAACACCAAAACACCTTGACCTAACTAATAAGACTACTACCTTACACCCAACAACTGCCAAATATACACTTTTTAAAAATACACATAATTTGTTTACAAAGAAACTATATGATGGCTCAGATGGTAAAGAATCCACCTGCAATACAGGAGACATGAGTTTGATCCCTGGGTTGGGGAGGAGGAGGAGGAGAGCATGGAGGAGAGCATGGCAACCCACTCCATTATTCTTGCCTGGAGAATCCCCATGGATAGAGGAGCCTGGCAGGCTACAGTCCATGGGGTTGCAAAGAGTTGGACAGTCTGAGCGACTAAGCACATATACATGGGGCTACAGAAGACTCAAATTTAAAAGAATAGAAATCATATGTTAAATAATCCCAATGCAATCATATTAAGTCAGTAAAAATAAAATATTTACATAACTTTAAATATTTTGAAATTAAACAATGCACTTCTAAATAATTCATAGGTCAAAGAAATTGAAAGATATATTTAACAAATAGTTTGTGAAAATGATTATATTACCCACAGCAATCTACAGATTCAATGCAATCCCTATCAAATTACCAATGGCATTTTTCACAAAACCAAAAAAAAATTTTTACAATTTGTATATACTTACTCTTTAATTTCCTCCACACAATTTGTGATTACATTTTTCTTTTGCTCCTATTGTTTCCCTTACATAGAAAGTCCTCACTGCCTCCTTTACAAATTCATATCAATCCTATAAACCCAACAAGCATTTAATGAAATTGTACTAAACACTAGCCACTAAAATTAGGCAATAAAAAATGTAAAACTAAAAATAGGTAACCTTCTAAGAAATAATTTTATAATCTACATACCTTTAAAATCCTAATTCACATCCTCTTCAATGAATTCTTCCCAGGCTTTCCAGTCCATGATGACAGAATTAGAAAAGAAAGGTTTCTTGAGCCCTTAATCTCTTCCCTTGCAGAGACCAAGTTATAAGCTATAGAATGTGATTATTAACTATTTTATTTTAATATGCTATATTGATTCCTATACTTTGTCTCCTCAACTAAATTTTAAGTTCCTTAAGTATAAAGACTTGGGAACTTCCCTGGCAGTCCAGTGGTTAAGAATCTGCTTTCCAATGCAGGGGACACAGTTCGATCCCTGGTCAGGGAACTACGATCCCACATACAGCCGGGAGACAGCCTGTGCACTCTGGAGCCCAAGCAGCACAACTGGAGTGAAATACAAGAGCTGCAACAAAGATCCCACATGCTCAACTAAGCCAAATAAATAAATATTTTTAAAAATTTAAATACTATATCTTCAGCAATTTTATATGTCCTCAAAATGTCACACACAGTGTAGATTCTTTAAAAACATTTCTTTTACCTTTACATGGTAAATCTAACCATACTTGCTTGCTAGACATTTCTCTATTTAAGAGTAAAAATAAACCATGCCATCAGTGTGTTGGTCAAAGCTAAAACCAGTTTTGAACCTCTTACTAAGTAACAAGCCAGTTACATTTTTATCCTTTCTCACATATAGTGTCTTTATTATGTCAAAACCACCAATTAATTAAATCATACACAATAAAATTAATAGTTGATATAAAAAGAAAAATTCCAGCTTTTTAACTGAAATTTTCATCATTCAACCAGCTGTTGAAGATTTTTAAAACAGTCCAAAGTTTCCTTAAATTCTTTCTACCCTTAGTAATACCATCCTTTTGACTTCTAAAAAGTTTGGGAAGGTTTAGTTACTACAATTGTGATATATATCGACATCCTGAAAAAGCAAGATTAATTTTCACCCCAAATTTGGTTTGGATATTGAGACTGATGACACCACACACTCCAAAAAGGTATGACAAGGCTTATTACTTACAGAATAACATTTTCTGAGAAGAATAGACCTGATCTGAAAACCTAGTCTGAAAATGGCAGAGAAAGGAGATACTAGCTTTGGGTTTTTACAGCAGTTAGGCATAGGCCATGACAAAAGTTCCTATACATGGTTTTGAATATTCCATTGATGCCAAAGGAGGAAACTCCTGGGCTTTCTTACCAGCTTGACCAGATGTGGGGCAGGAGTGGAAGAAAACAGGTGAGGCTCAAAATCTTTCAGCAGTCAGATCAAATTATGAAGTCAGACTCTTTATTACTTCAATTAATTTTTAAAAGCAAAGGTACAAAGATATTGAGTAATTTTATTTATACAATTTCATCAAAATTTAATTCTCTTCACTTAAGCTCTATAAATGATTGACAAGCAAATACTATGAATACATAAAAACATAAAGATGAATTTTTTGTTGAAGACAGGCATCAAAGTTTTAAATGTTCTTCAAAAAGGTTTAAGCAAAAATAAATATTAACAGTATCGCCATTAATGCAACCATCCAACTTTCATAAATTACTCCATTCACATTTAATTTTCTTCTATTAAAGATACCATCTTAGAATAATGAGTAGTATTTAAATTTTTGTTGTATTATAAAAAATAACATTTTATTCAATATCAATAGTATAAATTCTTCAAGATCTTTATAAAGTATCACTCTCTTTACTGTAGCAGTGAAGCATAAGTTCTCAAAGAACATAGCTTGCAAAATCGAAACCAAAATAAATAATGATAGCTAATGCTGCAAGTAAAAATAAATGTAGATGACACAGGCTTAATTTCCTTCAATGTTAAATCAATATAATCAAATAATGTTACTATGGTAACCCATTATTTCTTTAATCAACAAAAGAAAGTGGTCTTCATAGTTTAAGTAATAACATAAATTTATGCCCTAGATAATTGCAGAGCAGTGAAATAATTCAATAAATCAGTAACTAGTTCAAAAAAAAGTAAATTGTGTTGTATTTTGTGAGGAAGATGAAAATCCTTTTACAGAAGAAAGTGCTGAGTTTTGATCCTGTTCAAATGAAAACGGAAAACTAAAATCATCTCTTCCAGCACCAAATGTATGAGTTGAAGAGTCTGATGGGAAAGAAAAAGTAAAAGCATCTTCTTTCTCTGGTTTCCCAAATAAGTTTCCTGAGGAAGATAAATATTACAGTGTCATGCAGTTTATGTTACATAACTTGTACAACCTACCAAATTACGGGATACAGCATACAATAAATAGGGTAACATTAAATCAGATATTTAATAGTTTTCCTCTTATGTGCAAAGCTTAGTCTTTTGTACTATGGAAGGTTAAACAGTTTCAAACTTAAACCCTACTTTGATGTAATTTTAATTCAAGTATATAAAGAGTGTTGTGTTAGTCACTCAGTTGTGTCTGACTCTTTGTGACCCCATGGATTGTAGCCCGCCAGGTTCCTCTGTCCCTGGGATTCTCCAGGCAAGAATACTGGAGTTGGGTTGCCATTTCCTTCTCTAGGGGAATCTTCCCAATCCAAGGATTGAACTTGGGTCTCCTGCATTGAATTCTTTCCCATCTGAGCCACCATGAAAGCTAGTGTATAAGGTAGAAAAAGGAATAAAAAATCTCAGATGGAGAGAATAGCACAGAGGAACAGAACAGATGTGCATAAGAAATATGAGGGAAAAAAATCAATTCAACTTATCAGAAGCATTGAGAAATAACAGAGAGTTATTAAAGTGGAATTAACAAAGATGAGCTTGGAAATCAATGAATTCATTGATTCATTGGAAATGAATTCATCTCCAACTAAAGAATCTTTACTTTATTTGGTAGATAAGATGAACTCATTAAAAGTCTTCAAGCAAAGATATGACAAGATTTGAACTGCTTTGTAAGAATTTCTCAAGAGATAATAAGAAAGACTGGAATAGGAAAATGTTTAGAAATGGCTCTACACAGGGAAGAGATGATAAATGCTTGGCATTACCTAAAATCATAGAAAAAGAATGGAGAAAGATCTAGTGATCTGAAACATACTATATAAGTTAGGTTTATTCAGCTATTATTTATTGAGTAACTACAATATACTTTTCATGACATTGTTCAAGGAAATTGACAGAACAATGAAAAGAGTTTTATAGTTTAAAAAGGAACTTTTGAAATCAATTTCATAAAGAATTATTTGGTTAATGATTCCAAGAACTGCCATTAAAGAAAAATATTGTTTTTCATTCATTATATTAAGACTATAGTTGTAAAATAAATTTTCAATATCTTAATTATAATTTTAATTCAGTTCAGTTCAGTCACTCAGTCATGTCCAACTCTTGGCGACCCCATGAATCGCAGCACACCAGGCCTCCCTGTCCATCACCAACTCCCAGAGTTTACTCAAACTCATGTCTATCGAGTCAGTGATGCCATCTAGCCATCTCATCCTGTCGTCCCCTTCTCCTCCTGTCCCCAGTCCCTCCCAGCATCAGGGTCTTTTCCAATGAGTCAATTCTTCGCATGAGGTGGCCAAAGTAGTGGAGTTTCAGCTTCAGCATCAGTCCTTCCAATGAACACCCAGGACTGATCTCCTTTAGGATGGACTGGTTGGATTTCCTTGCAGTCCAAGGGACTCTCAAGAGTCTTATTTAACAATTTAAAATGTATAGCAATCCAAAGGCTTATTTGAAATAAGTCTTTTAAAGCATCTATATTTTTTCCACAGAGAACCAATTCAATTAATATATTAAGAAAAACAATTCACTTTGTGCCATTTTGAAATTTCATATATTTTCAAATATCTTGGTTACTTTACCCTAAGTAAAGCTGATCCAATAGCAATAGGTTGGGTGCGTGGATGGATGGATAGAGGGATGGAGAGATGGATAGACTGATCTTGAGTTCTTCCTCTTTCCCTTTCTCGCTTCATTTTTCCAGTGACTTTAGCATACGTACGTAAGACTTAAACAAAAGAAAATAGCTATAACATAGCTAAAGATCCAGGAAGAACTAAAAATCTTAAATCTCCCTTTGAAAAAAATGAGTCTGACATTATTTTAATTTCAGAAGAAGTTCATATGAAGTATTCATAAAACAATGATCACTATAAATAAAATAATAGATTACTATTCAAGATTACTGTGTAGTCCAGGTGCTGGGGAGAATTCAAAGGTGAATAAAACAGAGTCCTGCCCTCAAAGAACCTATGATTAGAAAAGATTTTGTATATATTCATAAGTAATTACAGCATAATAATAGTACAGGTATGAAAATGTATTTTAAAAAGAGAATCAGAAAAGTAAAGGAGAGAACATTTTCAAAATAGAAAATAACTTTTATTTCTACATAACAACTAAAAATTCAGAAAAATGTCTTAAAAATTTATAATTTGTAGTAGGATGGACAGTGGTCTCATATCTAGAAATCATCTAATTAAATATGGCTACTTTGCTTTTCTCTGGAGAAGGAAATGGCAACCCACTCCAGTATTCTTGCCTGAGAAATCTCATGGGCAGAGGCGCCTGGCAGGCAACAGTCCATGGGTTGCAAAAAAGTTGGACATGACTTAGCAACTAAACAACAAAACTCTGCTTTTGAACTGTGGTGTTGGAGAAGACTCTTGAGAGTCCCTTGGACTGCAAGGAGATCCAACCAGTCCATCCTAAAGGAGATCAGTCCTGGGTGTTCATTGGAAGGACTGATGCTGAAGCTGAAACTCCAATACTTTGGCCACCTCATGCGAAGAGTTACTCACTGGAAAAGACCCTGATGCTGGGAGGGATTGGGGGCAGGAGGAGAAGGGGATGACAGAGGATGAGATGGCTGGATGGCATCACCGACTCGATGGACATGAGTTTGAGTAAACTCCGGGAGTTGGTGATGGACAGGGAGGCCTGGTGTGCTGCGATTCATGGGGTCGCAAAGAGTCGGACACGACTGAGCGACTGAACTGAACTGAACTGAATGGAAAGTCAGTTCCAACTGCTGCCCATCTTATCGATCTGGGAAGTTTTCATAAACTAAGTAACTCAGTCTTCAGATAATATCTTCTTTACTTACTGTTAGGCAACCAGGGCCCCAAGTTTTATAGTTTAGAGAATATTCTTCATCCCGTTCCTTTTAGGAAGACATTTTTTTTTTTTTTTGAATGGAATGTCAAAGGGGAAAATAAAAGGTTTTATGGAAGAGTCTTGGTCTTGAAAAGATTGTTAGAGAGAAATGGAAGTTGAGGATTTCAGGAAGAAAAAGCAGGTTAAGAAAGTGTGGGCAAACTAGGGATGCAGTGAGTTCTTCAGTATAGCCAAAGCACAAATTATTTTAATAGGAGAAAAGGCTTAGGAGCTAGGTTAGAAAAATGGGAGCATAATTTGCTACTCTAGAGGATACATTAAAGGTATTTAACCAGGGCAATGAGATGGTCAATACTGTGCATAAGAAAGAGTAACTGGGGTATGATCTCTAAGTAAGTTAAAAGGATAAAAAGACCAATTACAATGTTACTGAAATAGCCCAAGTGAATGATAATAAGAGTCTTAAATTTAATTATTTCCATATAATGAAAATAGGAAAGAAAAGTATTTCAGAGAGAAAACTGACACAACTTGATGACTTGTTGAATGTAGTCACTGGCACAGAAAAAAGTTACAATTATGACTGATGTTCTGAGTCTTAGCAACTAGAAAATGGAGATACCATCAGGTACATCAGAAAGAGAACCAGTTTGATTTCAGATATGCTGTTTTAAATGTCAACAGATATCTTAGATATAAAGAGATATCAATTATATAATTACAAATAAAGTCCTATCAGATAACTTCAATTGTGAATTTTACCAAATACTTAGAGAAGAATTAATATCAATCTTTCTCAAGCTCTTCAAAAAAAAAAAAATCAAAGAAGATGGAACATTTCAAACACATTTTATGAGGCTAGCTTACCTTCATACTGAAGCCAGAAAAGGATACTACCATAAAAAAAAAAAATACAGACTAATACCTCCGATGAATACAGATGCAAAAATTCTCACCAAAATACTTGCAAACCAAATTAAGCATCATGTTAAAAGGACCACTCATCATGCTCAAGTGGGATTTATTCCTAGGATGCAAGGATGGTTTGATGTATACAAATCAATCATTGTGATATATCACATTAATAGAATGAAAGAAAAAAATCAAATGATCATCTCAGTAGTTGCAGAGATAACATTTGACAAATTTAACCCATTCATGATAAAATTCTTAAAACATTAGGTATAGAAGAAATGCATCTTAACATAATAAACATAATAAAGGCCATTATACAATAAATCCACCGCTAACATCATACACAATAATAAAAGATTGAAAGCTTTTCCTCTACAATCAGGAACAAGACAAGGGTGTTTACTCTCAACACTCCCATTCAACACAGTATTGAGAGTCCTTGTCAGAGCATTCAGGCAAGAAAAAGAAATAAAGGCCTCGAAACTGGAAATGAAGAGGCAAAACTGTCTCTATTTGCAGATGACATGATTTTATATATATATAAAATTCTAGAGGCTCCACAAAAAATTGTTATATCTAATCAATAAATTCAATAAAGTTGCAATTTACATCAAAACAGTTAAATATTTAGGAATAAACTTAACCAAAGAGGTAAAAAACATCTACTTTGAAAACTGTAAGACACTGGTAAAAAAAAAATTAAAGACAAAAATAAATGGAAAGGTATCCTGTGTTCATGGATTGGAAGAAGCAACATTGTTAATCGTAATGCCAATACTATCAAAATCTATCTATAAATTTAGTGTGCTCTCTATCAAGATTCTAATGAATGTTTTTACAGAAGTAGAAAAAAAATTTTTAATTTTACATGGAACCACAAAAGAAAAGCCAAAGTAATCCTGAGAAAGAATAAGGAGGGAGGAATTGCACTCCTGATTTCAAGCTATACTACAGAGCTATAGTAATCAAAACAGAATGGTACTGGCATATAAAAACAGATAAATAGATCAATGGAACAGACTGAGAGCCCAGAAATAAACCCAAGCATATAAAACTAATATTTGATAAAGGAGCCAAGAATATTCAATGGAAAGATAGCCTCTTCAATAAACAGTGCTGGGAAAATAGGATATTCATATGAAAAGGAATGAAAGTACACCACTTATACTACTCACAAATATTAACTCAAA